GCACGACTCACTCTATTCACCCCGTCTGCCCTGTCTGTGACGTTGTCACCATTGTGGTCGTCGTCATCGTCTTCGTGTAGCAAATGCGGCAGCGAACGAGCATGTGTTGTGATAACCGCAAAATCGAATCCTTTGGAGCGGCAGCTAATGAGGCTTAGTTGGGATGTCATTATAATTAAAACGTCGTCGATCAGAGTCTCGTCTTGTTCCTCATCGTCTGTGCATCGTCGTCACTGGCCACTGGCCCCCTTTAGCGTCTCTCATCATTTGTCTTGTTTATTATGCCGCCCCAGCACTTCTTTCATCTTCACTTGTCACCACGTGTTCTTTATAGTTGTTTACGTTGCTTATGCTATCGAAACAGCACAGTACAAAATTGTCTTGTCGTTACAGATGAACCGCCCAATGCAGGTGAAGCCGGCAGACAGCGAAAACCGCGGCGGTACGCTTGTCGACAGATAGGCTGCGACAGCGTTGCTCTGATTGGTGTAATTTTTAGAAGATCGCAAGCTGTTCGTTGGGATGCTGTCTAAACAGCAGACGGAGGAGGATCTTCGAGCGCTGATGGAGCCGTACGGTAACTTGGAAGAGTGTACGATTCTCAGAGGACCAGACGGCGCCAGCAAGGGTATTATGAGTTCACCGTTGCCGCTGACAGTGATTAATCGTTCGTCGATTAACGCAGGTTGTGCCTTTGTAAAGTTCAGTTCTCACCTTGAGGCTCAAGCGGCCATCACCGCTTTACACGGAAGTCAAACGATGCCGGTGAGTGATAAAAATGATCACTTATCAGCGGTATTCAATATTCGTGTGTGGTTTTGGGCTTTGCAGGGTGCGTCGTCTAGCCTCGTCGTCAAATTCGCCGACACCGAAAAGGAACGACAGCTGAGGCGAATGCAACAGATGGCTGCTCAGCTTGGGCTTTTGAATCCCTTACTTCTGAATCAGTTCGGAGCGTACAACGCCGTCTATCAGCAGGTCATTAACAACAGCTTTTTGCATTCTGTCAAAAAAATCGAGGATTTCCCTCCGCACTCAAAATTGCTCGTTCAACCGCTCGTCATCAACGTGCTTATGTTTCGCTAAACGCGCACTAAAATGCAGTAGCGGTCGTCTAGACGTCGTCGTTTCAGCCGGTCAAATTTTAGCAAGAAGGATTCAACACAGAAGGAATTGCTAAAAATCATAATCGATAGCTGAATATCGATTTTCAGCATCTAACACTGATTCTTGAAGTCGTTTTCCGTAGAGAATTGAAATGATTAAACGTGAGGTCGCCTACCATGGCAGAAATTACCCAATTCGTTTTCTCAGCTATTAAGACACCGGTAAGGGTCCGTCACTAATCCGGAAGCGGATGGTTAACGCGATATGTAGAAAGTCGTAGTTGTATTGTCTTGTCCTGAGAGACAAGTCTGCTTGGAGGATGAATAGGTTTACTTCACACTGAACGACAAGGGACTGAAACACCAGCAGGATTGTCTCAATATGAAAAACAGTGCTATTTTTGAGCAATATGGACAACAGACTGGGTCAGTTATTCCATGCAGTCTTAGAGAAGAGAAACCTGATTATTAGTTGCTTAGAACTCATCTTTGGGCGATTGTTGTGCATTGCCCTAATGCCGGAAATGTAGACAAGGGCGTCCATCCCGATGGGGTTCTTTCTTGTAGTAGATTCAGACAGTGCACAATGAACAGAGCTTTGCTAATCACGAAGTAACCCATTTTTCCATTATCTCTTTTGAAGAAAAAAGTTCTACAAACGTACTTGTGTGCCTTGATGCATTCTAATTATGTTGCAATAAACTTTGTCCGCATCTAGCAGGTAGTTTTTGCTTTCGCTACGGCTGTCACCATCACTGGTTCAGCGGGCTCCAAAGGCAACCGAGGTCACAGCGTTCCATCTCTGACGATGACACGTACTGTAGATCACTAAGTTCAATGAGTTGCTTTTCCATTGTTTCACCTGTCCACTGCCGGCCCAGCGAAGACTTCAGCATCACCTCTAACCGCAGGTCCCAGAGGGTCTTAATTTGTACGTTTCTTTTCCGTTGCAAAACCCAATACAGGTATCGGATTGATGCGTTTAATGAAATGGAGACCAAACTGTCTGGTGGACGTCTCAGCGCGTGTCCCTGCCAACGCAGTCGCCTTCCTTTCACAGCAGTCGAGAGCTTGATGATGCCGTGACTGGGCATTGATTGTGGCGTTGGATATATGGCCGATAAATTGTCCTCCAAATTCGCAAACATCGGTTGTCACAGGATTTTAGTTTTTTAATCTAATCGATTTTCTGAGTGTAACTCTCTCTTTATCCACAGATGGTTGTGGAGGGATCTGAAGACCGATCTAGTTGCTTTTACAGCAGTTTTCAGAGCCAGATGAAGACCCCTCTTTCTGTTAGTATCCAAACCGTGATTTCTTCCTTAGACAGCTGTTAAAAAGGATAAAGGAGCCAGGGTATCTGAAGCCGATGACCAGTGGGAGTGGCACACAAGAGGATGGATTTTCTCTCCTGTTCAGGGACCTTTTTTTATCAATCCAGCATGCAGATGGAGTTATGGATTAATGATCATAAAAAAAATACATTGACACGTAGGTCAGCGATGGAGTCAGAGTCGACGTTCACGGGTCTGAACTTAGATTCTGGATCACTTACCCTTTACCTGTTCGATGAACATTACTGAGGACAATTAAATACATGCGAAGGGAGCAACTAGACACTACAGTTACAATATTGATAAAACGCCCACGAGAACAAGACACTTTGGCATTGAAATTGAGAACGGAGCCGCACCATACGCATCGTTAAGAAAATGACCTGTAAATAATACTTCAGGAGTTGATTCCGGGCCCATAGTTATATTGATTGCAGTATTGCCCAACATGCGATTACTGAGGGACATTTTTTGTCAGTCAGACCAATGTGTCTGTCATAGACAAAGATAACCAAAAATAACCTGCCTAGATAGTGAAAGAAAGATTGAACCCAAATGATTATTTTCTTTATCGTCGTTCCATGTTAGGCATAAGTACAAAAGACTGTACTAATGTATCATTAAAGATTTGTAATCAAAGATAAGACACAAAAACTTTGTTTTCAAAACGAGCTATTTCTCTCGATGCCATATTACAGTATTAGAATAGATGTCGCTGTTATCTGGCATAGAGGACATACCGTGTTTTGCCTGGGAATGTAATACTTGTTTCAATGATTGATAGATCTCCAAATTTAAATGTAACGTTGAATTTATAGAAAACACTCTTCTGCGATGACGAAATATTTCATTAGACAGTTATATTATGTATCATCCCAATACGACAGTATAGAAACATTTTCTCTCCATTTATAAGGTCTACGTATGATTGGCGTGGGGGGGGGTTCAAAACATTAAGAAGCAAAGATTTTAAAGATAGGTGCTTCAGGTCTTGTATGCACAAAAATAGTATTCCTGTTTGATTTGCGCGCTATTTGGCTAATGGAACATTTAAAACAACTCTGTTCATTATTTACACAAACTTTTTTATTAGGTTTACTATAATTGTTATTTCCTTATTATTTAATTTCTGCTTATCTCACCTTCCTTTTCTGCAAAACATGATTTGTGGTAAATTTACTCAAGTAGTAAATTTCACTTCACTTTACACCCTCAACCGTGAGATAGACAGCCACAACTTCTAAGATGGCGTACTCCATGAATTTTGATGTTACCAGTTTTAGGAAACGTGAACAGAACGAACGAGGAAAAAGTTTATTTTACCTTTTCCATTGCTTTTTACATAATGCAGTTCAGATTTCCATACAGTAAACTCCGGCCAAATAGATGAAGAGGAACTTTAACGATTCCTTTAGAAAAAAAATGAGCAGGTGGCTTGCTTTCCTCTAAAAAGTAGATCAACATTGCTTTAATATGTTTAATGTTAGCAAATAGATCTAGCTAATAAATTATCTTCTCGAGCATAGTAAAAAATTCTAATTTAAATTACATTAAAACGAGGGGTTATAATAAATGCGAGCGTCATATTTCTGACTTTTATTTTCTTTTTATATTCATACTTAAAATACAGACTACACCAACACACTCATCACTTAATGCATTGCCTTTTACCGGCTTCAAAATATTTTGTGCAAAAGCTATAAGAGAACATTGTGACACAATCAAGATTATGCCTTATTTCCAAAGCAGTGGAAAATGCTTACTTTGCATAAACTGACTTTCATTTGCTGAAGAAAAAACCCACCAGCTATAGGTTTTATAAATAGGCAATGTTTTAAAATGTCAGAGATAGCAAAAGAATACAAATTATCGTTCAACAGCCTTTACGTTTCTCATTTTCACAAATTATGACAGGTTTTCAGAGATCAAAAACAAACTAACGCATTATTGATCGAAAAGTTGGGTCGGTTCATCCACTACGTTAGAGTTTTAGCACATCATGCCATATTTTAATATCTCTATTATTATCACTTGGATCACCGGGATCTAGTGATTATCGGCGACGAATCGCTCTGGCTAAAACAAGTCCGTCATTCCTTGCGGCTTCTAGCCTTCTCCTCTAAGGGCGATCTTCCTTGACCCTCATGGTCGGCGACCAAGCGACCTAGTCCCCTCCCCCCCTCCGCCCCCGCAAGGGTATCGGCCGGCAATAATCACCGACCATCTCTAGTCAGTGGGTTGAGCTACGTGTCCGACCCATCGCAGCATCTCTTTTTCTTTCAATTACGACGTCATTCACTCCCGCCTGCTGCCTGCTCACGGTATTGGGGATGTGGTTGAGACATGAAATTCCCCAACACTCCTCGTTCCATTACTCAGCCAGTTTCAGTTAGCTGACACTCTTCGACTTTTGTGAGTGACCATATTTTACAGCCGTACAACATCTCTGACAAGACGGTAGAATTGAAGAATTGGGCGCTGGTATCATTCTTGCCATAAAAAGAGATTCCTCGATAGAATTGAGTGCATCACTGGGTAGGTACAATTTCTTGAGCCGGATTATCCTGCACATTGGCCAGGGTAAACGCAACTATCAACTTCAGATTTTTTCTCGGATATAACCTGGATAACCTGGATCCTTAGCAGAGTATTCAGTGGCCATAACTTCGTCTGACCGACTGATCTATGCAATCATTACATATGTATTAAAGGTGCATTGAAATAGGAAAAGATGGAATAAATGAAATTTAAAAATGACTAATGATCGTCGGTCTAGGTTTCAGGATCCTATCACATATTAACTAAGAGATGTGGCAAATTCATTTGAAGCCTGGTCTAATGCACAATTTTGAATGATGTGCGATTATAAATAAAAAGCTTTTTTATCGACTAATAATCATAATTAATAATTGATGATCATTCAAGACTTAACGACGGTTTGAAATAATCTAGTTTACGCATTCTAGGGTAAGTTTACGCTGAACTTATGGAATCTGAAACAAAACGATACAGAATGAAAAGTAATAAGTGAAAATCAGCGTAAAACGAATCACTTTATGAATATATAGTAAAAATTCTGTCATACGTAATGCTTTTATACGTTTTATTCA